AGTATTAACTGCCTCAGCCCAAAATATCTTGGGTAGCTTCTTTTCAACAATCATGCATCTAGCCATCTCCATGACTGTTATGTTTTTTCTTTCACTCACTCCATTATGTTGTGGAGTGTAAGGACTGTTGAACTAGCACTTGATTCCAATTTCTTTGCATATCTCTTTGAATTTATTTGAAGTGTATTCTATTCCATTGTCACTGTGAATAATTTTGATGGTCAAACCAGTTTGGTTTTTTATCAGGAGCTTAAATTTCTTGAATACTTTAGCCACTTCACTTTTCTATCTTAGAAAATAAACCCATGTCATTCTATAGTAGTCATCAATGAGCAACACAAAATACTTACTTCCACTTAAGAAGGGAGTTTGCATAGGACCACACACATTAGTGTGTATCAACTGGAGTTTCTCAGTAGCTCTCCAAGTTGCATTTCTACTCGACTTTCCAAGCTGACAGACTTCACATAGACTCCTCCATTCTTCAATTTTTGGTAAGTTCAACACCAAATTCTTGTGCTTCATTTCTTTCAGCCCATTGTAGTGAAAATGGCCAAGTCTCTTATGCCAAAGTTCTGACTCATCTATTCTGGCAGATTGAGCTTGAACTTTAGGTTTTCTCCATTTTATAGGAAAGCTTTTTCCCATCATCTTGACCTTCATTAACTCACTTCCGCTGTTGTCCACTATTGTTCATGACTTGTTCTCAAAGTGTAGAGAATAATTTTTCTCTAACATCTGTCCCACACTTAGAAGACTCTGATTGATTTCTGGCACAACACATTTGTGATGTGTTTTATGCCCAAGGAGTCTGTACAGAAACTCCACCCCTTCCTTTAACTTCCACGAACTCTCCATTTTTTACCTTTACCTTAGACTGGAAAGAAAGATCTAGTTCCACAAAGTTGGTGAGGTTAGGTGTCATGTGGTTAATACAACCATTGTCTATTAACTATTTCTTTATCGAAGTGAGTTGTATGACAAGAGTTCTTAAATAAGTTCTCTTGATTTTGCTATTGATTCTCAACCACTTGAGCTCGTTGGGGTTGTGGTTAGTTGGCATTATTTTTGCAAAACTTCTCAATACGGTCAAACTGTTTGCATGACCTACACTGAATGTTAGGTCTGAACCACCATTTTTACCCCAATGATTGTTAGCCTTTTTTTTTTTCCCCTTTCTAGCCCCAGCAAGCTTTTTGTATCCTCCCTGCACTGATTTCCTTTTATAGGACGTTGTCATGGCTCCCTCACTGCTGTCTTCTTGTCTCAATAGTCTTCTTTATTCTTGAGCTTGTAGGAATGGACAAGCTCAGCAAGAGTCATCTGAGAGAGATCTTTCTAGTCTTCTAGGGATGAGATTTTGGCCTCAAACCTCTCTGGCAGACTCACGAGAACTTTTTGCATAATTCTTTCGCCCGTCAATTCCTCACCAAGAAGTCTAATTTTGTTGAGCATATTCATCAATTGATCAACATATTCTTTCACAATTTCACACTCTTGCATTTTCAACACTTCAAACTCCCTTTGTAGATTCAGAAAATGCATGTTTATGGTTTTATTACTTCCACCGTACTCCTCCTTAAGCTTATCCCAAGCTTCTTTCGGTGTCTCACAAGCCATTGTTCTTGTGAAGACTAGCTCTGTTACGGCTGAGTGTATATGAGACAAAGCTCTAGGAGCTTAATTTCGTGGCTCCTTCTTCATGCAGTCGGATTTGGTTCAACATGGGATCTGGTCCTAGTTGAGTTGGCTGCCTCTCTTTTGTCACATATTGCCAAAGACCTTGTCCCTTTAAATATGTCTTCATTCTAACAAATTGTATGTGGTACTATTCTCCATTGAAGACTAGAGGTAAGAGAGAAGTTGTGCTTAACGCCATGAAGACTGGTTTTTTATTTTAAAGTTGAAGGTAATTTTGAGGGAAGAAGATGAACTATTTAAGGATAGATTAATCTCGGTGAAGAGAATTAGGGCTCTGATACCAATTATTGCTTTACAAGCTGGAGAATACAAGAAAGAATGCACGAAAAAAGTTCTCGTTTTTCATTAATTCAACATTGATTATATACAACCTAGACACACACATCATTGATTGTGCCTTTTAACATGCCTATCTGTAGAGCATTAAATGCTATCTCTAGGTTGCAGACATAGTTGACACGCTAAGCCACATTTACATGTTGTCAAGATATTGAGCCAAACATTCCTAACTAGTTTGACATCTGGCAGTCTTATCCATAATAACAGCTAAACCCTACAGGGAAATTGATTGTCCTCTGACATTCAACAATGATGGCTCTAACCTTCCTTCTGACATGCTTCTATCGTAAGCTCGTTAGGTCGCTTGAACACTTTCCTATATTGCTTCCAGATCACATTACCTTTTGGTCGCTTCATCCAAATTGCATGTTTATTATGACACACGCTTAGAAAACATTTGCTTCACATCACAGCTTTACTCATGTAGTTCATCTGGTTGCTAGCTTCAGGTCGCAAGCCTATTATGTCGCTTGCCACATGTTTCCAGAAAGATATCATTCACGTTAACAGATCTTAGTGAGGCTAAAACTAATTGGCTTCTAGCTGTGAACATGCTTCCCTCACTTTCAGAATTGCACCTATCAGCTTGTGGACTTTCCACTCTTCCTCTATCTATTTCATTCATTAATCTTATATCTCTTTCGATACTTGATCTCTCCCATAATGGCTTCAACTCCTCAATACCTTACTTTTCAACTTAAGTAGTCTTGTATATGTTGATCTCAGCTCTAAGTCCAATTTCGGGGTGGAGTTTCTGGTGAATTTGCAGAGTTGCATTCTATTTAACATATTGATTTGTCTGAGAAGTCATTTATTAATGGCAAGTTACCTATAAAGTTGGGCAAGCTCTACAATTTGCGTGTGCTTTACTATCCTTCAACAACATTAGTGGTGTGTTAACATAATTCACTGATGACTTGTCTAATTGCATTTGCATCAACTACATATTAGAGTTTTTACGTTTTGGGTACAATGAACTAGGAGGATTTCTTCCTGATTCCTTAGGACACTTACGGAACTTGAAACATCTTTTACTCCATAAAAACCATTTTTTGGGTTCGATCGCAGACTCCATTGGAAATTTGTCATCCTTAGAAGAATTCTATCTTTCTGAAAATGGCATGAAAGGAACACTTCCTGGTAGGCTAGGACAACTTAGTTGTGTTAGATATAAAAAAATAATCAGTGGGAGGGAGTCATAACATAAGCTCATTTTTCAAATCTCACAAGCTTAAAAGAGTTGTCAATTGTCCATACATATCAAAACATCACCTTGGTTTTTAATGTGAGTTCTGAGTGGATTCCCCCTTTCAAATTTCCTATGTGGCTAAGAACCAAAAGCAACTCAATTTTGTGGCTGTTAGGTTACTTTGGTACGCTAATATTTGTGATTAATTACGAAATATCTATTTAAAAATAAAATGTAAAAAATAGGTTTTTTTATCTTTTAAAATTCAAAAACTACTTTTAATATGGATTATTATGAAAAAGACACCAGACTCTCCGGGCATTATACAGTGTTCATAAATTTTTATTTCAAAATGAGTAAACTGACTTTTTCCCACCCAAGGCTTACCTTATTGAACTTTTCTACCCCAAAAAGTTTCAAACTGATTCAATCGTTCACCACCATTCAATCCACCGGCCTCTACTCAACAAAACCCCTCTTACCTTGGCTCCTGGTAACTCGTTGAACGCCGATTAAGAAAGTGAAGTATATTTTAGGTATTAACAGAATATAAATTTGAATGAAAAAGTGGTATTTTGAAACCTTTTGGGTGAAAAGGGTTGTTAAGGCAAACCTTGGGTGGGAAAAAGTCCTTTACTCTTTCCAACTTTTCCATGCGCTAAGAAATCAAAACGAACTCAATTATGTGGGTGTTTGGCACACTAATATTTCAGACAGATACCAAGTTGGTTTTTGGAGTTAGATTTGTTTCTGAACATATTGGACTTCAGTTGAGCGGTGCAGTTTCAAACACAATGAAGTTCGGTCCAGATGCTATGGTGATCTTGAACTATAATATCCTTGCTGGCCCCTTGCCAGTATTTTCATCAAATGTGACTTATTTATATTTGGACCATAACTTTTTTTCTGGACCCATTCCTGAGAACTTCGGTGAACGAATGCCCATGTTAACATATATAAATCTCTCTTTTAACCGTTTAACAGGATAAATCCCGGATTCCTTGCCCCATTTCTACTAGCTTGGCAGCTTCTACTTTTTTGGCTCATTTGAGCGGTTGAGCCTGTCAAACAATAATCTATCTGGAGAAATCCCATTAACGAACCAATTACAACCTTCAATGATCCATCAATTTACAAGGGTCGCACTGCACTTTGTGGGTCTGCACTACCCAACAAGAGCAACGAAGACGAAGAAACATCTCACTTTCCCAGTGGAGAAGGAAAGATGTTGAAGACAAAGATAAACTTGAGAGGCTGTTGTTTTATAGCACCATAGTACTGGGATTTATCATTTGTTTGAAAATGAAGAAATCTTGGAGGCTTTCCCATTTCAAATTGCTGGATGACATGAAAGATAACCCAATCAAAATCAGCATGTCTCCAGAGACCAGCAGGATACTAATGTACTACCTTCGTGATAAGATGAAGAGTATTTTATACTCCCACATTAGATAGAAATTATTGAATTTTAGGCTTATGAATATCACTTAATGAATTAGTTTCGTGCAGTTAATAAATACTCAGAACAGTTATAACTGAAAATAATGAGATATGGTAGCATGCATTGAGGACTGTTGCTAACTCCACAGGTAAAACAATGCATGAAACATGAAGTTTGCATAAAATTAAAAAAACATGGTAAAACAACCATGAAACATGAAGCTACATTGACAGCACAGGAAGCCATCTCATTAATAACTGAAGATTCTTGCAGTAATATAAACACAAACTAATGATGAGAAATATTGGAGCTTAACCAGTAACAGTTGTATATTATGCAAACGTTGAAATTCCCTTCATATTTCAAAATATTGATTATAATTTTTCTGTAAAAACCGCCCCATTTGAAAGTGGGTAAAAATCTCCTCTACATTTCAACCATCATGATCAATCATCAGTGCCAAAGTAACGATCACCAAACTCCCCCAAACCAGGGATGACACGGAATTCTTCATTTAAAGAAACATCAATTTCGGAAGTGACAATTTTCAATGATGGAAACCTTTTAGAAACACAATGGATTCCCTCTGGAGCCTGAAGTTAAATCATAAGATCAGTATATAAAAAATAAAGTACACAGGAGGTATCACGAGTAACAAGAATTACTCACAGAGATGAGGTTGAGGAATATAATGTGGGATTCTGGTACTCCTTTCTGAATGAGTAGTTCGATAGCTTGGTTTGCAGAGTTCCCTACAAGGAACAACCATCAAGATTAGTTTTCAATCATCATACAGGAATATTGTCAATATTATAATAGTGTCCACTGATAATAGTTCAACAGCTTGGTTAGCAGAGTGCCCACTTGCCAAAATCAGTAGGCACATGGTTTTACCACAAGCTGGGATATGCAAGCAATGCATCATTTTTGCACTCTTATTTCAAATCCGGAAAGATTGGCTTGCAATCATCAGCAAATCAATAGCGTGTACCTAGTCCCTAATCATCTTCTGTGTTGTTTTCCATTACATCTTAACCAAGACATCATTTCAAGACCGTAATTCCAGGGAGCACACCTTAAAATGGTAATACAAATATGTTACCGCTGATAAACCTAAAAATGACAGCTACTTTCTGGTAGTTTGAATTGAAAAAGAATAAGTTCAGTCACTCAAGCAGTCATTCTCAAAAATTTTGTGTGAAAAAAAAGAAAAAAAGAACTGAAATTTTTTTCACTCTCAATTTTCCACCTTCTGTTATAAGAGATAAGCCCTTTAGCAGAAGAGGATAAGGATAAAAAAGAAAAAATAGAACAAGTTATGAGGACCACAAAAAGGCTTCTTGTTAACAAAAAGAAGGGAAATGACAATGAAACTTCCAAGGAAATAAAGAAAAAGTTACCTGTGGCAAGTACAGGGTCAAGAAGCAGGACATGCCGTTCTGAAATATCCTTGGGAAGCTTCTCATATATTAGCTGATCATATTGGGGACAAAGTTGAAGACTAAAATTAATTTCAGATAACCTTTAGTACCACAGGATGCAACACTCTAGCTCCGGTAATCTTTTCTTATAAAAGAAATATATATCTTCTTTACCTGTTTACCATTATCTCCGTCACGGTGAATCAGAATTTTTCCAATTTTAATTCCTTTGCAGCATGCACGCAATGCATTTTCCATGCTCTCACCACTGTAACATCACGAGGGGAATGTATTAGCATGAATCAAGATAAATGAAGTCACTAAAATTCAACGCAGCAGGAAATTCCCATATCAAGGCTCATGTCCAGCTTCCACAGGGACATGCTGAAGATCAGAAACCAAATTAATCATTATCATATGGCATAAGATGGAAATTGACATCATAACTCATGATACAAGTACAATGCCATAAAACTAGAACTAACAAAATGAAAACCTCACTAAGTGTTCACCTTCGAACAATGGAAACCCCACACAACTTCTTGCAAAAATCAACCCCCGTATACAGTGACGCTGAAAAAGGAATAACAAAAAAAAATTTCCAAGTTATGGTATGCACAAACATAAAAACAAATACATGCGGGAAGAGAGAATCAGCTCAAACATATCAAGCCAATGGCAGAGGCATAAGTAAATTCACAAAGTTTATGCATATTTATAGAATGTGGGAATGGAAAAAGAGGGGCCAGTACGGGGACGGAGGCAAAAGTAAAGAGAGAACTTGAGATCCAATGGCTTAAGAGCAATTGAGCAAACACACTGTCAAAGCAAATATTAGAGACACGCAAATTCATAAAGTTGATGCATATTTCGAGGATGGGGGTAAACGATATGAATACAGAAAAAATGAGTTCAATCCCGCTATATGTTATTCTAACACACCTGTTGGAGTAACTATTTGCTTTTCAGTGAATGGCAGATGGCCAAGGCCATGCTCAACAACCTGGAAGTCAAAATCAACACAAGCAATCATATTTTTTACCATAAGAACCAACTAAGATTTCAAGGCTTAAAAAAGAAACAGCTCAGTTAAGCTACAGTATCAGCAAAGCTATGAAACAAAATTACCAAACGGATAAGTCGATCTGAGTAAAACACGAAATCATGCTTTGATATCTCCTTGTCTCGTATCAGTGTATGCATACCTCTAATCTGAAACATGGGTCTCTCATAAGAAAATAACTAAAGAAGTACTAAGCCAAAACATGTAAACAATAAAAGAACACCACATTAGATTGCAAAGTTGAAAGGGAACTTTAAGGAAAGAATTATCATCATAATGCCATGGTGCAAAAGCCTTATATTTATAGTACTTGGTAGAAACCAAATCGCCACAATCCATGTGTTTTTATGTTTTCCAATCACATCAGGCATATATTAAGTTACTGTAATCCAGGAACTGTTGATCAGTAAAACTTATGTCTATGTCCAGTGAAAGCGATGGGCACTGGCTCAGAACACACAGTAAAAAGCTGTTCTAGTATTAACAAATGGAGGCATATGAAGCCATATTTCTGTTTCTTTACAGAAGTAAACCTCATACATAAAAGGAAAAATAAAAGCAACACATTACAGACCAAAAAGAGATACCTGGAATGTTGATTGAATCACATAGACATTGGGATATATTTTACAGAGATCATGCTGACCAAGCTTTGTGTGGATATGTTGTACAATCAGATCAATGGCAACATGATTATCACCTCCCCGGGGAATGATTACATCCGCATACTTCTTTGATGGATGAACAAAATCGTCAAAGGCAGGTTTCACAAACTTGGCATACTGCAAATTAACAAAATGCTTGCAATGTAATTATGATTTGGAATGCCATAAGAAGTCTAAACTTTTAAAACTAAAGAGGCATGCAGATAACTTCCAACAATGGCAAAGATTAAAGTTTCTGCGGAAATTAAAACCATACATGAGATTAAAGACAGATTTTTTTTTTTCTATTTTCATGCAGTAGCCCATGTGCCACAGGGTCAGTTCTCCAAGTGGCAGATTAGGAGTTTCTATACTTCTGGCTAACTCCCAGAGTAGTGGCTTTCACATAAACACAGAATACTCTTGTGTAAAAATATATAACCATAAGGTCAAGTAGCACAGATGAATAGAAGCATGAACAGAAGGTCTAAGCTTTCATCCAAATGAACTCCTAATAGGTTCCTAATTAAAGTTAACTGAATCATGTTGTATATAAATTAAAGATATCATAAAAGCCTTGCCTGTTCGAGTACAGAGTTTACATCCCTACCCCTCTCAACTGTGTCACGTCTAATTCTACGAGCAAGCCTCACATCAGCATCTACAATCAATAAAAGTCAATTATTATAAACAGAACAACAGAGCAAGCAAACGAGCAGGTAGAGGAAGAGAGATGCAACCAAAAAAAAAAAAAAAATTGACAACTGCTTTCCCATTGGACTGTCAAAGGTAACGCTCTAGAGAATCAATAAAACCCCTCCTACAGCCCTTCCACCCCCAAACCCTCCACACAGGTCTCCACCAGACATGCATGTGCTTGTGCACATATACATAAAGCAATGCTTGCTTAGCATTGACAATTGTCAGCAACATAGGTCCAATTAACCCGCAAACTGGGCACACCTATGAAGCATATCTCTACAACCTATCAACAGGATCTATGAAATCGTGAAAGCCTATATTTGAGAAACGTGCAAACTTTAGTCTTTCCTTTTATATTCAATTTAAGTGTACATTATAGAGAAGATCCTATCAGGATATCAAATTTGTAAAAGGCAGAGAAATTAATGTCCGAAAAAATGAGTATTCAGGATCATCTGCTGAATACACACAGTTGAAACAATTTGACAAGTCTATAAGCCATTTATAAATCTTGCAATCAGCCGGACCCATATTCTACAAAACATAAATCCTCTGGATATTCTTGAAAAGATTGATTTTGTTTCCTTTACTTCTTAGCTTTTAATATTTTCTGCAAATAAAACTTTAAAGTAATTAGGAGCAAAACATCCCTTCAAGAACAATGTAACACAAATTTGGAACAACTAAACAAGTAAGTATGGAACATATTTCTATATAGTAAAACCATAACATTGAAATCAACCATCATAAATACACAAATGAAACTAGGAGGATAAGAAAAATTTGATAATAATGATGCCTAAGATCCAAAACTGATTAAAGAGATCAAACCTGTGTCAACAAAAATCTTCATGTTCATCAGGTTGCGGACACGTTGATCATGGAAAACCAGAATACCCTCCAGGATAATAACATCAGAAGCATTCACCTGACGAAGAATTTAAGAGTGTAAAATAGTATTCTTCTGATTTGATGAAAATACGATACTGAGTCAGTATGTTGTTAAGTAAATACCTGCCGAAAACTATCAGAACAGCGACGGTGATTCTTAAAATCATATATCGGAACTTGGTAGGGCAGCCCGGATTTGAGCGTTTTAATGCAATCTAGAAGCTGCTCAGTGTCAAAAGCATCTACAAAGAGAGTAACATATAATTACAAACAAGTAGTAGAAACTGTTGTCAAAAATTACGAGAGAAAGTCTTAGGTATAGGAAGGGTGCACCACTTCCTCTATGTGTCCATCCAATAATATCATGCCAAATATCATTTATTTTGTCTTTCATCACACCAATCATAACCATGACCGGCTGATTTCATAACAAATGTATATATGACATTATATCATCATATGTACATACAGATGGCATGATACGTCCTCCCACCTCAGTTTTCTCCCAATACCAACATGAACTAGGAAAATTAATAAATGACAAGAAAAAACAGAAATAAGATTCCAATCATAATTAATAAATACCAGGATGATCGAAATTATACTCATGTACACGTTTTGATTCTTCAGCTGTCAAACCACGATAAAAGGAATCCTGCATAATATGCATATCAAATAAATAAAAAACTGGAAACTCCAAGCAAAATAGCAAAAGAAGCAAATGCAACAGACCTGATTGACAAGCACAACACGATGATCATGAAGTTGTTGGATGATCATATCACAAACAGTGGTCTTACCCGAAGCTGTACCACCGGAGACTCCTAAACAATTATGTAGATAATCCCAAACAATCAATAACCAAATTCATACCGAAAATAGGTATAAAAAAGATATTTAAACGAAGGGAACAAAACAAAGATGAAAATGAAATTGTAAAGCACAAACAATAACGTCACTAGAGTTAAACAAGTCAAAGATTATCCAATTTAATCCGAGTATTACTATTAACGAACAAAGGATTTCACAACACACAAGACACTTATTATCATTTATAAACCAAATGTGAAATTCGCTTTCATAAACAACAGCAGTTAAAGCATTCTCAAAGTAGAAACGGAAAACGAAAACGAAAACAAGAAGCTGAGCTTTTGCTTCAGTTAATTAATAAATTGAATGTTACTGCCGAAAGCAAAAACAGGGTTAAAAAAAAAAAAACAAAAACAAAATCACTTCGAAATGTTTTCAAATGTAATTATAGAACGAGTGAGTTACCAATAACAAAGGGTTGTTTGGGAGCGTTAACATCGGCTACGGCGGAAGCCAAAGCAGAAGAAGCTGAAGGCGATGAAGCGGGGCTGTCGATGCGTAGGCCGGAGAAGTGAGGTCCGGAAGCCTTCTCCATCACGTAGTCTACCGAAATAGTTTCTTCAGGCATTCTATTTTTTCCTCCCTCTCCCTCCAATTAAGCAAAAGCAAAGACCAAACGCACGCTAATACTGTGGGTTATGACTCAAAACACAATAAATTGGCTGTTGATAATTCGTTTGTTCAGTGCCGTTTTTGTCACCAAATTCTCAGGCACATTGGATTGGCTTCTATATTTAACGCCTTCTTTTTTCTTTTTCTTTTTTCTTTTTTTTTATTCCAGTTCACTATTAACTTGAAATTAAAATGACAGCCGAGACCTGAGAGGCTGAGCTATATAAAATTATAAATAACAGAAATTGGGTTATAATCTGAGCCGTCTAAACCATTTCAATCTAAATCTTGGCTTTTATTTTATATTAATTTAATTAATATTTGCTCATTTTATATTCTTTTACTTGCTACGCAAATGCAATTAAGAATAGAATAAGAATACTGTGCTCACCAAACAATTAAGAATAAAAATCGTTAAGGAGAATAAATATTTGGAATATGCCAAAGTGCAAATACGAGATTTCCTTTTCTTATTTATGTTATCCTTTTATAGGTCATGAAAGACAAGAAGAATAACCACTTTTATTTATTATTAAAAACGTCAAAAATATATTTTTTCGTAAAAAGAAAATTGGAATAATTGTCTTAAAGGTGACCCCTTTCTACGGGAGTTGGTAAAATTGGTTGTTAATTGGGGTCTCGGCTGCTCGAAAATGAAGCCATTAGAAATGTGTTTAAAGATAAAGCTTGACATTGTAAACATAGGATATTGTGTCTAAATCACAATAATTAAGTCAACATTAGGAAGCTTAAAGATTCGTGAAATCCAAAACATGTGAAACACAGATGACGTTAAATATAAATTAATCATTAAGAACAAGGATTAGCATGCAGCCTTTGGTGTTAATTTTGCAATTAAATAAGTTTATTAATATAAGGTAAATACGTTACTTTCAATAAATTTAAGTAAAAAGATTCACTAGATCAAAAGGATTTCACAAACATCCCTTTGTTTCTTTTAAGTTACATAAACACCCTTTCTTTCTGTAAAATCACACAAGCACCCTTTCTTGAAATTGTAATTAAGTTTAAAGAAATTTATTGATTACAAAGAAAATTATCTGGCCAATATTATTTCAATCAAAAATCAATGATCAAACAAAGGAATATTTTTATCACTATTCGTTCAAGCTTAGAGACAAATAAAATTGTGACTATAATTTAACCCCTCAGATTTTAACATACTCAATACATATATAAACCAAACTGATGGCCAGTAACGCAACAATGGAAGCAAATGGAATGATAGCAGAGGCCCCGGAAGTTGAAGCAGATTTCGAGGAAGTCGAAGGCGTAGACGAAGATGAACCTGCCGCTGGGGTAGAAGGGGCACTGCCGGAAAATGTAGTGATCTTCACCTTCATTCCCTGGCCACAGTGGCCTATTGTGCCGCAAGCAAAGTAACGTGTACTGGGCTTGTCCAATTTCACCACATCATTTCCAGTGCTCAAAGAGTTTAATGATGTTCCCAGGTCGCAGTTCTTGTAGGCACTCTCACTTGCTACTTCAACCACGCTGTGGAGCCCTGAGCTATACTTGAAAACTGTCCGAAATTTAAAAAAAACTTCAGTAATGAAATCGATACTAAAATTTAAAATTATTAGCTAGCTCAAAGGAGGATAGAACGTACCAAGTTGATCGCCAACCTTAAATGTTTCCCCGGATGCCCATGAATTGAGATCTGCAGATTCAACCCAACCTTGGCTGCCCCCAACAACATGTTGAGCTGCCGAGGCTTCTTTACTGAACAATGCACCAACAAGCAACACCAACATAACCCAGCACATTCTCTCCATTTCCCCTTGGCTTAATGGAACTTCTCTTGGTGTCAGTTTGTATTTATAGATAATGAAACCCTGTGAATAATAATCAATAATCAATAATCAAAATAATCGATGACTTATAATATATTGTTTGTTTCCTAACAAAAATCCTGAAATATATATACCATATTGCCCTGGAGATTGGCATGATAAACAATACTTTATAGTGTAAATGTGAATCTAAAGGATGGGCATATGTGGAAAATTGGCAATGTTTAGATTGGCCGTAAAGCAAAATCTATTTGGTTAAAGGTCACTGAATTAAGCTTGGCGTTGAAACAAAGCCATTACAGTGATCATTTTCGGATGTTGGACTTCCTATTTAGATATACAAAACATCAAATTTAGAGGACAGCTTGGAGAAGTAGAGATTGTTTGGTGAGCTGTCTGTGATCATTGACACATATGATTGATTTAGTTTTGGGGGTTTTCAAAACATTAATGGTTTGATCAATTTTATAAGGAAAAATGATGGAGCAGTGAGGTAAATCTCTTGTCTAATTACATGCAATTAGAAAACTGTTGAAATTGCGTCTAACTTGTTAAACAAAATATTGAATTGACCAATGATCTAAATCCACAGGATAGTGATAATTAGAACTGGAAGAACAGTAAATTTACAGTTATAGGCCGCTAATGCATTAAACTCGGGCCCTCTTGAGGACCGACTACTGTTGACGTTTAAAGAAAGATAAAACTTGATTATACACAATATCTTTAGCATTTATGCCCATGATAAAATCTGCATGAGCATAATTTTTGATGAACTGAACGCCGAGCTTGTCGACATCATGGAACTTGAAACTATCGAGTAAATCCTGAACATCTTTAACATCAGAAAGTGCATCATTGCCTCCATAGCTGACAAAGATTGGAAGGTCATGAGGAATGTTGGAGATGTTATAAACTGGAGGTATGATTGCCCCATAATGCATCAGATTGTAGTCAGGTCTCCCATAGTTGAACTTTGCAATCACTTTATCTCGAACAGCTGAAATTTAATTTATCAGGATATATAGATTTTTAGCCTTTTTTTTTCTTTGGGAGAATTCAATAGAGGTTAGTGAGAAATGGACTTACTCTGAGACAAGTGAATCATGTTTCTGGTTGATGTTGATTGAGGCCCATTTTTTAGGAAGAGATCGACCGTTGAAGCATTGAGACAGCAATTTTTCCCTTCAATCAGATTGTTGAAGGAGGTAATAAGTATGAAGTTGCTTCCTTTGTTCAGCAAAAGAACAAATTGAAACTAAAGATTACCAGTGAGGGAGGATAATAAGTCATAGCAGTCAACTCCAGGATTAGCACAAACTGACTTGAGAAAGTTTTCTACATGTGGGCTGTTGTTTAGAAAACCAGCCATTAATTAATAACTTGAAGCATTTCAAGGTGGATAATTGAAGTTGTATTAAATTAATAACTGTGGTGAAACAATGAACTTACTCTTTCGGATTGAATTCTGCCAGGCCTAATACTATCGTTGAGATCTGTGGGAAAAACTAAAAATTTTATCAAAAACTTTAAAAATCATGGAGGAATGACAATGAAATGAATAGAGATCTTTAGGACGGACCTCTCCAACGAAGGTTTTGGCAGCCAGAACCCCAAGAACAGTGCTCATGTGGCTCAAATAAGCAATGGGACTTAACAACGCTGCTGATTTCAGCTTATCCACCTGTAAACCTTCGGAGAAGGATGCCAAAGCTATAAGAGTTCCCTGTTAAATTAACATTATGTCAATTTGATTAAAGCAAATTAGATAATTGTAATTTATCATCATACCACATTAGTTTAATGTGTTTACCAGTGAATGCCCCACGTAATTTACTTTTTGCCCTGTTTGGCTGTGTACATAGTCGAAAAAGGTTGGCATATCATAGGCCACCAATTCATCCCATGACCAATTCCAGTACTCCTGTCATGTGACAATTTGCATACAAAAAACTAAATTAATAAACGTAAAAGAGTCAACATTTTCCAATGAGATTTCTTAGCAAATCAAAATAATAAAGAAAACATATTGAAAAAAATAAAATAGAGCATGAGAGGAGAGGTGAAAGAACCGATTGAGCGGCATCGAGAGAGGTATGTCGTCGGCTAAATCTGGTTCCTCTACCGTTAGCAATCCACACATCGAACCCATTATCAGCTANCTTTAACATCAGAAAGTGCATCATTGCCTCCATAGCTGACAAAGATTGGAAGGTCATGAGGAATGTTGGAGATGTTATAAACTGGAGGTCTGATTGCCCCATAATGTACCAGATTGTTGTCAGGTCTCCCATAGTTGAACTTTGAAATCACTTTATCTCGAACAGCTGAAATTTAATTTATCAGGATATATAGATTTTTAGCCTTTTTTTTTCTTTGGGAGAATTCAATAGAGGTTAGTGAGAAATGGACTTACTCTGAGACAAGTGAATCATGTTTCTGGTTGATGTTGATTGAGGCCCATTTTTTAGGAAGAGATCGACCGTTGAAGCATTGAGACAGCAATTTTTCCCTTCAATCAGATTGATGAAGGAGGTAATCAGTATGAAGTTGCTTCCTTTGCTCAGCAAAAAGAACAAATTGAAACTAAAGATTACCAGTGAGGGAGGATAATAAGTCATAGCAGTCAACTCCAGGATTAGCACAAAGTGACTTGAGAAAGTTTTCTACATGTGGGCTGTTGTTTAGAAAACCAGCCATTAATTAATAACTTGAAGCATTTCAAGGTGGATAACTGAAGTTGTATTAAATTAATAACTGTGGTGAAACAATGAACTTACTCTTTCGGATTGAATTCTGCCAGGCCTAATACTATCGTTGAGATCTGTGGGAAAAACTAAAAATTTTATCAAAAACTTTAAAAATCATGGAGGAATGACAATGAAATGAATAGAGATCTTTAGGACGGACCTCTCCAACGAAGGTTTTGGCAGCCAGAACCCCAAGAACAGTGCTCATGTGGCTCAAATAAGCAATGGGACTTAACAACGCTGCTGATTTCAGCTTATCCACCTGTAAACCTTCGGAGAAGGATGCCAAAGCTATAAGAGTTCCCTGTTAAATTAACATTATGTCAATTTGATTAAAGCAAATTAGATAATTGTAATTTATCATCATACCACATTAGTTTAATGTGTTTACCAGTGAATGCCCCACGTAATTTACTTTTTGCCCTGTTTGGCTGTGTACATAGTCGAAAAAGGTTGGCATATCATAGGCCACCAATTCATCCCATGACCAATTCCAGTACTCCTGTCATGTGACAATTTGCATACAAAAAACTAAATTAATAAACGTAAGAGTCAACATTTTCCAATGAGAATTCTTAGCAAATCAAAATGATAAAGAAAACATATTGAAAAAAATAAAATAGAGCATGAGAGGAGAGGTGAAAGAACCTGTTGAGCGGCATCGAGAGAGGTATGTCGTCGGCTAAATCTGGTTCCTCTACTGTTAGCAATCCACACATCGAACCCATTATCAGCTAAAATCAATGGTAGATTTTGTTCAGGTGGATTTAGAAGCCATGTCATTCCATCCTGCACCAACAACAAATGAAACCTCTCAACTCTCTGTGACCAAATCACAGCTAAAAATTGCACTCAAAACAATGCGTATATATAACACATACACCGACAGATTTAGCAGCCAAACTATCAGATTTAGCGCCTTGATCTCTAATTTATGGCTTTTACCCACTTCAGTAAACGGACAAAGAAGACACTGGCACTGCATGCCGTGCATGTGACCTCACAGCAAATGTAATAATTATAAATATTGAATTCTGGGCCCATTTTTATTTGAACCACAAATGATGCTTGATTTTGTGTACCATTTGATTATATTTTGGCCCTTCCTGATTCTTGAAAGAATACCAACAAGGAGAGAACAGGGGACAAGGACAAGAGTCACAAGATGTTTGCCTTGGGATCTACAATGTCACTGTCATTGGGTCTCAGGACAAACCTTGAGTTCGTGAATATCGTCACTGCTTCGGGATAGAACATGATCACCTAAGTTTCCTAATATTTCTTTTAGCAGGTTTATAAACCCAGCACAGGGGTATAAAAGAATTAATGAACGAAAAAGCATTATGGAGCACTTCTCTTTAATTTGCTTCATCTAATTATAAATGGAAGACAGGCAGGATTTCTCTCTTTTGATCCATCTTTTGCTTTTTCCCTTGTGGGTGATGATTTTAGAAGGCAAAACTACAAGATGAAGATTGACACAGCACATGAATCATAACTGATTCTAAGCGAAACATTAGCTACGACTAACCATTCACTTTTCTCAAAGTAACGGCAAATTTTATCTCTACCCTTTGGAACACGCAAGAACAAAAATATAAAAAAGAGCAAATTTTTTAAGTCAAACATATCAAAACTGGTTAGACTTGACAGACTAATGGCTATAGCTGTGACCATGAACATCCAATTGAAAACCATTTTTTATGCTTATCAGTGGGAAAACGTGAAATTTTGATAGCTTAAATCATGAAAAATTCCTGTTCTCGTAAAACACCTTTGGTCTTGGCTTTTTAAGTGCCTTTAGCTAATTTTAAGTGACAGATGTTCCCCACCCGCAAATTAGGTTTTACTTTATCGCAAAGTAATGTCCTGGGCAGCATGATGGATGCACATGTTCATTATTAGATACTGTTGGTTTTGCTTTCTGACAAGAATGATTAAAATTTGAAAGTAATAAATTAAGTACCATAATGCATCACAGACTTGGACTGGACCCTTTTTTCACGAATTGTCTATTTGTCAAACCTAGCTAGTTTGTCAGGTTTCACTCAAGTTGCAATTAACTTCTTCTTTTTCTTCCTCTTCATAATCACGGACGTGAGACAATAGAGTTGTAGAACCAGAAAAACGCTACCCAAAATCAAAGTGCTGAATGATACAACCAGCGAAAGGAAAATATGTCAAGTATTAAATTGATTATACTAATAACTTACCACTAGAACTCCATGTTGTATTAAGACTGGCTGCTTCTTAGTCATGTTGCCACTGGCAATACGCCCTTCTGGAATTCTCTGCATATTAAGTATGTATCCATCTTTGGTTGTCACCTGAAAAGACACATGCCCACGTCAGTAACTTTCATCAACATATATAAAAATTAGTATATCTGTTTATGGTCCTCTTTTAATAATTCAAATGAGCTCTTACATAAATCTCCTGGCATTTGTAACCATGTACAATCACCGAAGAAGCGCATATACCATTCGCTTGCGACATCATAGGATCAGTTCTGGTCCTGCGAAATGAGCCACGGCCGGAACCATATGCTTGATGGGGCTGAACCACCAAAAGAACTAGAATACAGAAGCTCAACAGGCCACGGAGATGAGCCATAATTTGCCTCACTTATCTTCCCTATATATCTATGAGGACGTAAATTAGCAATTGAAACTAAGGTTTATATAGGAGAGATGAAGAGGGTCACTGAGTGGGAACACAGAACCGTTTTAAGTTTGTGGATCGCGACTTAACTGACTCGTACGATTTCTGGGGTTAAAGTGAGTGGCTTTTCAATGAGGTCGTGGGTCCCAACTGAAGCTTTTGCTTTCTTATCAACAGCAAACTAGATATGCATAAGAGAGTTGAAGTTGATGAATGATGATCTAAAAATTTGTTAAATATATGTTAATTTTGTACTGAAAGCAAAACAGATTTGCAGTTGCAGTATATACATGTACAATATGTAGAAAGAGAGAGATCAGAGAGAGAAAAAGAAGTTTGGGTAAGCTTATGGAGAGTGAGGATTGGGGGGGTCTTTTAAGATGGGACCAATGACTTTACGTATCAGAAGTATGAACAAAAATTATGGGGCCCTAGATGTGACATGTGTTGTCTCACTTTAAAAGGTGAGAATTAATGGGGTAAATCATTGATACTGCTTTAAGTTTTCGGAGGATTACACTTGCTCAAATTTAGGGTCTATTACAAAGAGGTTACGCCATTGATGTCGCGACGGAATATTGATTCCAGATATTAGGAGCTCACTTTAAACAGTAATGTAATTACATATTCAAACGTAAACTACAAATCAAATCCCATATTCATTTCTGTCTCTGGGTTGATGATGATCAACATTAATCTCACATTACAGTGGTCATCAGGTCATTTGAATGCGTAATTAATATTAGTAAGCATATATGCAAGCTTAAAGTAATGAGAACTGAAGTATTTTCACATTCTGTACCATTTTGACTGTAAAACATGCAATGCAAAGTCAAGCCAAGTCATACTCGTGAGTGAACATGATTAAATTGTGTCAATGGAAATTGATAGCAGTTTCGATATCTAGAACTGTGATTGCGCAACACTAGGAAAATGATACACACATCACGATGATATGACCACCCACCAAATGATTCTCTTTGACTTTGTTAACCTTTCACATTACTCTCCGCCATCCTATAATTATGCCCACGATACAAATGTGAAAAGGCGGTCTAAAGATCTGTTTTTCAAGAACATCCCTTCGCTTTCGAAGTTATAAAAAAACGAAAAAGGAAAAAATGCGTTCGGTTTTCTTTAGTTTTTTTTTTTTGGTGGTGGGGCTTGATTTTGGACGTCAATGACTCACACATGGAAAATACTGAACTAACTCAGAAGACACTGTAAGGATCCATGAGATTTGAATATGGAGCTGAGATTTGAATATGGAGCTGAGATATATATTTTGTAGAAAAATAAATAAAAGATTGGCAAGAGGGGTTTTTATAGTGGTTTGGATGTAATAAGCGACTCCTACATCCACTGTTATTTTATTGATCTCTAACTATTTCTATGATTTTGCCCAAAAGGCATACAAAGATGAAGAAATACAGTGTTTACAGAGAGAGAATGAAAATGAAGCTCCAATCTCGCCCCAGCCTCCAGCCTCCCTTCTTCGTGAAGAGAAATGCCCATTTATTCACCCAAACACTCAATGTAATGAGTGTTTTGCAAGTTGCCTTGACACATGAGAGCTCTCGTCCATTCATCTCTTGAAAGGAGTATAGTTGTGTGAGAATATCTTGGAGATATGGGCTTAGCAGCTAGTACAAGAAGACATTAAATGAGCTGACACAGACGTGACTTTTTAGGATAACAGAAGCCCCCCAGTTTTTGATCTGAATTGCTGCGTCTCGAACGAAATCCGTTAGGAAAATGATCTGAAATCTGGTAGGAGCTTGACCTGAAATCTGGTAGGAAACACCAGAAATCTATTAGGAAACGACCAGAAATCTGTTAGGAGCTCGTCCTGAAATCTGTTAGGAGAACAACCAGAAATCTGTTAGGAAAACGACCAAAAATCTGTTAGGAAAACGACCAGAAATAGTTAGGAGCTCGTCCTGAAATCTGTTAGGAAAACGAGCAGAAATCTGTTAGGAAAACGACCAGAAATCGATTAGGAAAACGACCCGAAATCTGTTAGGAAAATGACCAGAAATCTGTTAGGAGCTCATCTTGAAATTTGTTAGGAAAACGACCAGAAATCTGTTAGGAGCTCATCTTGAAATCTGTTAGGAAAACGACCAGAAATCTGTTAGGAAAACGACTAGAAATCGGTTAGGAAAATGACCCGAAATTGTTAGGAGCTCGTCCTGAAATCTGTTGGAGCTCGTCCTGAAATATGTTAGAAAACGACTAGAAATCTGTTAGGAAATCGACCATAAATCTGTTAGGAAATTGACCAGAATCTTTAGGAAACGACCCGAAAGGTCATACGAGCTCAACTTGGGAAAAATGACCTCGACCTAGAGGTCGAACGAGCTCATGAGAAAAACGACCTCAATCTAAGAGGTCAAAACGAGCTCATCAGCAAAACGACCTCAACTTGAGAGGTCAAAACGACATCGACCTAAAAGGTCAGAATGAGCTCGACCTGGAAAGGTCAAAACGACCTCGACCTGAAAGGTAAACAACCTCGACCTGAGAGGTCAAAACGAGCTCAGTGAGCAAAATGACCTCAATCTAAGAGGTTAAAACGACTTCAACCTGAGAGATCAAAACGACCTCGACCTGAGAGGTCAAAACGAGCTCAATGAGCAAAACGACCTCAATCTAAGAGGTCAAAACAACCTAACCTGAGAGGTCAAAACGAACTCGATGAGAAAAACGACCTCAATCTTAGAGGTCAAAACGAGCTCGACCTGAAAAGGTCAAAACAAGCTCGACCTGAAAAGGTCAAAACGAGCTCAACCTGAGAGATCATGACGCAGTTCTACCTAAGAGCACAAGAGATCAGCGATCTCAGTGTGTGATCAGCGATCTGAAGACGCAATTTGAAGCTAAAGATATGCGATCTGAAGCTGAGGATCAGGACGACATGGGCGTGCGATCTGCGATCTGGCCATGCGATCGGAAAACTCTGATGCGTGCGATCTGTGATCTGGCCACGCGATTAGAGAATTCTGATACCAATCGAAGAATTCTAACGCGTGCGATCTACGATCTGGCCACGCGATCGGAGAACTCTGACACGTGCGATCTGGCCACGCGATTGGAGAATTCTAACGTGTGCGACTGCGATCTGGCACACAATGGAGAATTCTGACGCAGGTTTGAGATCTGACGCCATCAGAGAACTTAGATGCAGGCTTGAGAATCGGACCTGCATGGGCCACCAAACTGTTGACGCTTGATTTGGACGCCAATGACTCACACGGGAAACGCTGAGCTGACTCAGGAGACACACGTGATGGATCCATGAGATTTGAATATGGAGTTAAGATTATATATTTGCAGAAAAATAAATAAAAGATTGGCAAGAGGGGTTTTTTATAGTGGTTTGGATGCAACAAGCGACTCTACATCACTGTTATTTATTGATCTCTGACTATTTCTATGATTTTGCCCAAAAGGCATACAAAGATGAAGAAATCAGTGTTTACAGAGAGAGAATGAAAATGAAGCTCCAATCTCAGCCCAGCATCCAGCCTCCTTCTTCGTGAAGAGAAATGCCCATTTATTCACCCCAAACACTCAATGTAATGAGTGTTTTGCAAGTTGCCTTGACACATGAAAGACTCTCGTCCATTCATCTCTTGAAAGGAGATATAGTTGGTGAGAATATCTTTGGAGATATGGGCTTAGCACGTCGTACAAGAAGACATTAAAGAGCTGACACAGACGTGACTTTTTAGGCATAACAGAAGCCCCCAGTTTTTGATCTGAATTGCTGCAGTCTCGAACTGAAATCCGTTAGGAAAATGATCTGAAATCTGGTAGGAGCTTGACCTGAAATCTGGTAGGAAACGACCAGAAATCTATTAGGAAAACGACCAGAAATCTGTAGGAGCTCGTCCTGAAATCTGTTAGGAGAACAACCAGAAATCTGTTAGAAAACGACCAAAAATCTGTTAGGAAAACGACCAGAAATATGTTAGGAGCTCGTCCTGAAATCTGTTAGGAAAACGAGCAGAAATCTGTTAGGAAAACGACAGAAATCGATTAGGAAAACGACCCGAAATCTGTTAGGAAATGACCAGAATCTGTTAGGAGACTCATCTTGAAATTTGTTAGGAAAACGACCAGAAATCTGTTAGGAGCTCATCTTGAATTGTTAGGAAAACGACCAGAAATCTGTTAGGAAAACGACTAGAAATCGGTTAGGAAAAGACCCGAAATCTGTTAGGAGCTCGTCCTGAAATCGTTAGGAGCTCGTCCTGAAATATGTTAGGAAAACGACTGAAATCTGTTAGGAATCGACCATAAATCTGTTAGGAAATTGACCAGAAATCTGTTAGGAAAACGACCCGAAAGGTCATAACGAGCTCAACTTGGGAGCAAAATGACCTCGACCTGGAGGTCAGAACGAGCTCAATGAGAAAAACGACCTCAATCTAAGAGGTCAAAACGAGCTCAATCAGCAAACGACCTCAACTTGAGAGGTCAAAACGACATCGACCTAAAAGGTCAGAATGAGCTCGACCTGGAAAGGTCAAAACGACCTCGACCTGAAAGGTCAAACAAACCTCGACCTGAGAGGTCAAAACGAGCTCAGTGAGCAAAATGACCTCAATCTAAGAGGTTAAACGACTTCAACCTGAGAGTCAAAACGACCTCGACCTGAGAGTCAAAACGAGCTCAATGGCAAAACGACCTAATCTAAGAGGTCAAAACAACCTCAACCTGAGAGGTCAAAACGAACTCGATGAGAAAAACGACCTCAATCTTAGAGGTCAAAACGAGCTCGACCTGAAAAGGTCAAAACAAGCTCGACCTGAAAAGGTCAAAACGAGCTAACCTGAGAGATCATGACGAGTTCTACCTAAGAGCACAAGGATCAGCGATCTCAGTGTGTGATCAGCGATCTGAAGACGCAATTTGAAGCTAAAGATATGCGATCTGAAGCTGAGGATCAGGACGACATGGCGTGCGATCTGCGATCTGGCCATGCGATCGGAAAACTCTGATGCGTGCGATCTGTGATCTGGCCACGCGATTAAAGAATTCTGATACGCAATCGAAGAATTCTAACGCGTGCGATCTACGATCTGGCCACGCGATCGAGAACTCTGACACGTGCGATCTGGCCACGCGATTGGAGAATTCTAACGTGTGCGATCTGCGATCTGGCCACACAATTGGAGAATTCTGACGCAGGTTTGAGATCTGAGCACGCCATCAGAGAACTTAGATGCAGGCTTGAG